CCCGCCAACTAGAAATATTTACTAATATTAATGCTTTCTGTTAGTTTAAATGTTTTATTTTATTATTATTATTTTAAATAATTTCACTTTAATCTTTAGCTGTGTTTATGAATAATATAGATCACTATATCAAAATTTTCTTTATCAAATCTATGATATGATTACTGAAGCATCTGACAATTCTGACTGGAATGAAAGCAATTGTCTATGACATTTCTTTCTGTAATAAATTTCAATAATGTAATAAGATGCACAAAGAAATAAGAAACATTATTATTTATTTATTTTAATATCATAGAAATAAATTCACTAATCTTATCAATAATTGAAAACAATTCTTATAATATTCACAATTATCACTTAAAAAAATCAATAAGTACTTAAAAATTAATACAAATAAATCATATTTAAAAAAACATGTAAAAACTAAATAATATATGTGACAATGAAATGTGTCTATTACAATTTTTTACTTTACTGACAACATTCATGTGATATATATACAATAGTAGTGCTGATGTATATTTATATTTTAAAATCTTACTATCACTTTTTATAGACAGTTAGTAGTAATTTTTTTTTATTTCATTATCGTTTGTGAAACTAAACACTAAAAATAATTAATCCACAAATTTTAAAAATCACAACAAAAGCAAGCATTACAACACATCTCAAACTTTCAAAGCTACCATAATTCAAATTAGTAACAAAAAACAAACTTATTAGTTAAAATTAAATAAGGTTTATTAAATATATAAAATAAAGATATTTGCACAATAATAACTCATCAGGAAATAATAAATAATATTTGCCCAAACAGCATTAATTTTTTAAATGATAAATAAATTATTAATATATTTTAAACTTAATTAAAAATACACATTTAAGTTTAAAATTTTCTGTAACATTAAAACTGATTAATATAGTTATAATAAAAGAGCTAACCTTGTAAATCAGCAAAAATTTATTAATGCATTTAAATCTTCATTATATAAATAATTAAATTTAACTCTTAAACATACATCTTATGAGCATTGGTGTAATTAAATATATTTGAGTTAAATAGCATTTGCAATATTTTAAAATGCAGTTTGCTAAAAATTATATTTTATATAGGATAAATGATGGAGTGATTAGCTTCATTTATTTTACTTATTTGTAAACCTCTTTCTATTCATAGAATACTCAGAGGTTCAATTCCAGCTGGTGATGCTGTGCAAAATATTTTTGTTGTATTGTGAAGTTAGTTATACCCATTTCCAATATGAGTCCTAATATTGGAATAAGTTATTGTAATTATAATTGTAACTAATGTAATCATACTGTTTGTATAGATAGCTGGAATAATTATGTCAGATATATGATTTTTTTAAATAAAATTTTATTTTTAATTGTCTAATAAAAATCGTCTATATTTAGAATTACAAATTTTTATTTTATGAGCTAATATTTAACATATATTTACATAAAAACTAAATTTAAAATAAAATATTGTTATGATAATTTTACTTCTGTAATCTAACATGATAGCTACTGTGTTTCTATCTTTTGATATATTACTTGGAGAAAGAAGGATGTCGTACTATATATCATCACATTTCTCCCTTTCCCACCAGACAGTCTGTGTTTGTGTGCATAAGTGCATGTATGTAGGCGTGCATGTGTGCATATGTGTCTGTGTGAAAAGAATGTAGACTAGTACATGATATTAGAAATTAATTAATCTGTTTTATGTCAGCATATTGTCTTCAGTTTTATTGAAAACTACTGATCCACAAAACCTCACATAATATATATAAAATTAATATAAGATCTATTAATTATTTTTTCTATTTTTGCTACAATTTCATAAAAATCATTTTCCTTACACAAATTAAAAAGAGAGCATTTCAAAACAAAACATTAATATCTATTCCGTTAAATAAATTTTAAAATATTTCTTCAGAAGTATCAATAATTTTTACCATCATCAATCAAGACTATCCTATAGTAATGAACGTTTATATGTTTATTAATTAAAAACTATTTCCATACTATTAAGATCAAAATATTTTTCCCTGTTTATTCCATATATATAATGCTTCTTAAAATATCAAGCAAAATTATATACATAAAAATTAGCTGCTTGATGTAATATTTAAATGCTACATGAAGAAATGGAGTAAACAACATTTTGTTTAGGAACATTGTTAGCTTAATACATTTCAAATCAGTACTTGCATTTTTACAAAGATAAACTATACTACTTTATCTTATAATCCTATTAAAATTAACTTTAAAAAACTGTCAAATAAAGGATCAATCAGCTATATAATTTTAACTGTAATTGAGTATTACATTTAAAAAAATTAATTAAAATTTTCTAAAGATATTTATAATTTTTAAATAAAAATAATTTGTTTATAAGTAGATTATAAATATCTCTGCTTTTGTAAGAATTCATACACCTCACTGGCAGCACATTACTCAATAATTAATCCTAAATTTGCAAAGTTTTAAATTATGAAATAAGAATGTCTTGATAATTATTTATTACAAATTTATGGAAAGAAATAGTTACTATTAGTACAAAATTCTACAATATCTTGTTATGATATTATTGCAGAGATTTACATTAAAGCTATTTCCTTTTTTATAAATCATATGAAAATAAGACAACATGAAAGTTTACTTATTTTCACAGCTATCAGTTATCCTATTTACTGTGTATTTATTTCATAACTGTATAGTTTCAATTAATTCCAATATCAGTTTTATCCATTACAGTATTGATTTTTTAATTACTGAATTTATGACAAAATACAGTTCTAAAATAAATTTTAAATAAAAAAATGTAACAAAATTTTTTAATTATTATTGTCTGAATAATTTAACAAATGCTATCAGATTATGTACTTAAACTATCTAGAAATTTCATTAAAGCATATATTAGTTAGTTATATTAAATGATTATTAATTATTCAGAAGTTATTAATGAATGGTTAATTACCAATGATTGATTCAAATAATTTTCATTTGTTTATTGTTCTATTTAAGATGTTTTAAAATTTCTTCATTTGACACAAAAAATTTTGTCATAATTCATTCAAATATCCTGATGTATCAATTTTAGAAATTTAAATAATTAATTAATTAATTCAGCATTTTTTATATAAGTAATAGTAATTCTAAAATCTGATGCCTCAACTCAATTTATAAATATATATTAGACTGTTATATGTTATTAATACAGTAATATAACAACATAAAATCCCATTAATTAAAAAACTAGTATTAATGTATGACAATCTGAAATATAAAGTATAAACCTTAAAATGGTTCTTTCTATAGCAAATAATCTAACTATTTAAAGACTTATTTTTATTTAATATTTTTGTATGAATTAAATTATGTTTGCAATTATTTATTTCAAGTATAATAGTACAACTAGCATATAGCATTTCACCTACTATTTCTTCAATTTAAAAACTTATTCTAAAACTTTTAGAAAATTACCTAGTTAAAGTAACATTAAAAATAATTCTTGTCTGTATTATTATAACTAAATAAAACTGGAAGTCTTACTAAACAGCATATTTAACAAAAATACAATCATTATACAAGCAAAGAAATTTGATACAGTAGAGCCTCAAAAACTCGGCCTAATGTGGACCGAAGGGTGGCCGAGTTTGTGAAAATGCCGGGTTATCGGGAATGGGGTTAAAAATAATAAGTATGAGTGTTTCCTCAGAAAATACTGTACTGTACTTGTATGTATTGTTTACTTGAGAATACAACAGAGAATAAACTGCCCAAATACCCTTAAACAAAGGAAAAGTATGTCTTTTATGAAGGCATAGAGCCTTTACTACATGAAAATGAAAATTAATGAGTACACTGTGTACAGTAATTTACCTGATAAGACAGACCTCAGAAAAATACTTTATGAGGCATAAAGCTGTCTTTATCATGAAAATTAATTAACTAAGAATTTTTTTGCCCTGCCAGAATGTGGCCGAGTTATCCGGAGTGCCGAGTTTTCGAGGCTCTACTGTATATAATTAATTTAATTTTACTGTAATTTCACTTAGTAATAAAAATAATAGTACTTTTCTACAATATTTTGAAATCAAGTTCTTATGAATGTTTAATTTTTGCTTCTCTATTTTAAACAATATGAATCTTTCTTTGAATAACTGATATGTTTATTATTATTTTCCGTATTAATTTTGGCATATTTTATAAAATTTCATACATTTAAAAAATAGTAACTATTCAGATAATAAGACAAAGGTTATATAAAATTAAAATTTTTAAAGCATAGATTAATATTCATAAATTTCATTAGAGATTTATTAGACATTCATCTTTAATCAATTAAAATAAATTCAGTCATATATAATGAATAAAAAAGTGATCTAAAGTCTATTTCAATTATAGCAGAAAGGAATGGATTATCATAAAGATTTACTTCTTAAAAGCAAATATAATCATCATTGTTATAAAACTTTTACTTTTTTGAAGTAGAATTAACAAAACACTATGTAAAGTTTCTAAATAATACTGATAAGAAGTTTGTAAAATATAAACTTTGCATGTAGTTTTAATAAATTTAAAATTTATAAAATTTTAACCATAAGTGCCATTCACTGAAATGCCTAATTTATTGATATTTAAAAAGCATAAATTATCAAAATTAGTAATTTATTTTATTTTGTTTAGAACTTATTTCTACATAGACTTTTAAGATTCATAAAAAAATATTAAAATATTTTTGTCACTTATAATAAGTAAACAAACAAAACAAATAACTAAATTATGATAATTATTTTAAATATTTTACAACTTATTTAAAACATTAAATTATATAAGTAATTCTTTAATTGTAAAGTGAAAACCAATTTATTTTCATTGAAATTCAATTATTTGTATATGATATTTTCTAATGTATATCATTATAGAAAATTTTCAAGTATATATCCTAAAAATTCATAACTTTAAGAAATATTTGATTTCATCTCAAAAATTTGAGGTATATAATGTAAATAAATTAGATTATTACATATTTAATCTATACAATATTAAACATGTAATAATCAAGAACTGAGCATTTCAATAATGATGCACTATTTATAAATGCTATGTTTATATCTGCAATAAATTGGAATCATATTGTAAGAATCTACCAATTACTCAAATCAACACTGTAAAGGCTTCTTCTTTTCTATTGCTTCCTGTAACTTCTTCTGTAATATATGATATTTATTTCGTACTTGATTCAAATATTCTTCTTCTTCTCTATCCAAGATTTTCAAAAAGTTGCTCAATTCTGCCAATGCAAATGCCTCCCACTAAAAAAGTCATTAAATTATTTGTTTATATTAAAAAGTTTAATATTATGTAAAATTAATGGAACACTTAAGAATTATTTAATAAAATATAATTTTTATTAATATTTTAAAGAAGAAAGATAGCTATTGTTAACAAAAATATCTTGAAATTATACAGCTTTAAATCTTTTCAAACTGCTATATTGCAACTTATTATCTATTAAAAATTTTAAAACAATTTATATTATATTTTCTTCAATTCAATAGAAAGTTTTCTTAGAAACTTTTATTTTATTTCATATTTTAATTTAATCATTAAAACATGTCTTAAACATTGTCTTGATTTGCTCTAACTTATTAATTTCATTTTTATTAATATCAATGAAAAAAACGAGTTACAATTTTTCATTTTGTTTTATAAAAAGAAATATATACATCAGACAACTAACCTTGTGAGTATAATTTTCCAATATATTGATGATGATATGATTTAAATGTGATTTGTAAAATTTATTAAGAATGCATCAAAAATTCATATATGCAGATTGCTTTCCTGGTATGTGTAAATATCAATTTTAAAAAAATTTATTTCTGACTAAAGTAATTTTGGAAAAGAAAAAAATTAAATTGAACCTTGATTAATTTTCATACTTTTCATAATTAATGGCATATATAAAAAAATTAATAAAAATTCCACATATTCTTGTAAAAATTAGAATAACAGTAAAATTATGAATAATTTTTGGTGAAAAAAATTATAAATAGCTTTAAAAAATTTTGTGCTACCAACAATTTGGATGGAACAGAGGATGGATGTACTATTCAAGGAAAATAAGGACTATAATGGCATTGAAATAGGAAACAGGAATGAAGACAATAAAAGTCCTGATAAAGTATTGTTTCCATTATTCACCAAATTTTCTTTAATGCCAAATTTGTATGCAAATAAAATGAATAATAAAAGTTCAACTTACATTCAGGTGCTAAAATAAAAAAATAATAAGAATTCCAAAATTGGGGACCAACTTATATTTGAGCAAATGCAGTAAATAATTATATTAATTATTAATATTAGCATACAAGATAATTTTCTTATGAAAAAAAAAAACTTAAATTTAGAGATATTTATCAGAAATAAAGTGATTCTAAAATGAAGTAAAATTTAGAAAATTAATCTGTCTCTCTTCTTTATTTAAAGCTAAATATATTTCTCAAAATTAAACATTAAATATTGATAAGGTTACGGCTACAATCTTTTTACAGAAAACTTCTTATAATGATGCCTTATAGACTTCTCAAACTATTTTACTTCAAAAAAAATTTTTCTATTTAATAATAATAGTACAATGTCATAAAGTATATATAATCTTAATCTTTGTTGTTGTTTTTTGCCGGGCAACACCATGCTCATGTGCTAGTTCTTAAATATTTACCTCATAAAATCAAATTAATATATGCAAATATCTATTTAAAACTTACTCTACAATTGATAAGCATGCAAGGAATAATTAATTGCATGTAAAATAAAACCAACTTACAACAATATCTTCTGTTTCATTTTCTTGAAGAACAAATTGTTTGCTTTCACCACACCACATTAGAGCTAACACTAATGGTTTTTCATGATCATGAATTCTTCTCATTTTACCTAAAATAATTGTCATTCATTTATATGCATTAAGTAAAACTTATCAAATACTAAAGCTAAATTTATATTGTATTTTTAAATCCTAACTTGTACCTTTTTTTGTTTCTGTATCATTATATTGTTCATATAAGGCAAATTTATGAGGATTGTCAGCAACTTTGAATTTCTTAAGAAGAGCACATATAACTTCTCTAGTAGTATATTCACTGTTTAAGGGAATTAATGCACATAATTATTTATCCCTAAATGTAATTATAAGCAACACTAATTCAAACAAATTCTTACTTAGCTATGTCTACAATAACATATTACACACAAAAATAAATTATACATTTTAAATTTACAAATGGATTTTTAAGTTTATTTGATGTAGATTTATTTTTATATGTAAACAAGTAAATAAAAACAATAATTATTGAAATTAATATTTCATTTCATAAACCATATGTATAATTTTATAAAAACTAAAAATCAAATTATTTATTTTTCTTTGCATATTTTGAACTTTTTCATTAATCACTACAATAGATGTAATTTCAACATTTTACTAATATGAAATAAATTCCATCCTTATTTAATATGTATGAACAAATTTAAAATTTAAATAATAAACAACTCAAATAAACCACCATCCAAATAGTTTTAGAATGATATGAGTCTCAAAATTATATATTATTGTTATACAGCAGGGGTGTCCAACCCGCGGCCCAAGACAAGTTCTAATGCGGCCCAATAAACGTGTAAACAAAACTGACAAATGTTTTAATTTATTATTATTTATTTATTTCAATGGCATAAACTCAAAAAAGAAGTTTCACAAAGCCGTAAACCTTTATTCATATTTTATATTTGAGTGAAAAGAAAATATTTTCAAATACTGTACTTGGAGATGTGTGAATGTGGAAGGATTACTAAATAAAGCTGGAGTTGTGACTCAAAGGATTATAGACCCAAATTTCGGAAAAGGAGGGAAAGATGAGAAAGGACAAAAGATGTAGTAGTGAGAAACGTTAAATAGATCTTCTGTTAAGCAAATATGGACCCGTAATTTTTCAACCTTTTTCACTTTACAGTATTTTTTGTTCTTCGCCTCTTTTCCCCCGCACTTGGGTCTATAATCCTTTGATTCACAACTCCAGCTTTATTTAGTATTTCTTCCAACGTTGCAAGATTTGGCTACATTGCGCCAAATGTGGCTACTTTTTTTTTTTGACGTAAAAAATATCATTTGGCGCTTTGGCTACTTTTTGGGCTACATATTATTTATAAATATATTAGTTGAATAAAAATGCACTTTAAAATGGTGTTTCGTCGCTTTTTATTAATTAGAGACCCAAATAAAACAAATATTTGTGTTTTTCAAATAAATTTTCGTTTGTCTCTTTTATAATAAATGAATTTATCTATTTCTAAGTAAAAATTGAAAGTGTCTGTAGAAGTAATTTTTTAAAATATCCTTTTTTCTTGATAAAGTTTTAATACTTATTATTATAATCTAGACATGTTAATTTTTAAATATACTTATATATTGGGCCACAAGTATATATTATATATACTTGTGGCCCAAAACTCCTTGACTTCTTCCAATGCGGCCCAGAGAAACAAAAAGGTTGGACACCCCTGTTATACAGTAAAATGTTGAAATTCAGACTAATTGGGGCCTGATCCACCTGGATTTTTTATTAAAATCCAGATGGGTCAGGCCCCAATTACATGTATTAGAAAATCCCATACATTCGAAAATCCATCTGAATTTTCCATTAAATTAAAAATGCAGATGAATTTTCAAATATATGTGTAAATTAGCATTTTAAACAACATAAACTGCAAATACACTGTAAATCGAGTTTAAATGTTTTAAGTTCTAGCCATTATTTCTTATAACAGTGTTTCCCAAAATGTGTTACGTGTACCCCAGGGGTATGGGAAGAGTTTAGTGGGGTACATGCTGCACCGTGCTTTGGCTGCACCTGGTGCAACAAGCAGCTTACTTTTTTTCAATTACAAACATAGAAAAATAATAATAAAATAATAGTAAGATGAAAATGAGACCTAAAGTCCATATTGCTATATCTAGGAACGATATTTTCCACATAGCCTTCTTCATTTTGGCTTTTTTCAATTTTCCAATTGCAGCAGCATATAGAAGAGGAATATCCTCATTATCTTTGGTTTTTGATTTAAAAAACATCTCATAACCCCTCTACTTTCAGAAATACTATTTAACAAAACAGTCACAATCACCACTTTCTCATTATTTAAGTCAGCCATCTTGAAAAGCGACCTCTCAACACTACTCTCAACGAAAGCGATTCTTTTTTTCTACAAAATGTGACATCAGACAGAAAATTCACTGTTGAGTCAACTGTTGAATTTAGAAACATACGGTAAGTCCCATTGATTTTGATTATTCTTACAAAATATAATTTTTATCCCTAACATTCAAGGTTATGGATCGCTGGTTGAAATCTGGAACTTCCATACCGAAAGAAAGCAGTGATTATAGCAGCATTCAACAAACAAAAATTAATGAAATTAACGATGGCAAAACATCTACAATTCTGAAAGAACCTGTTAAGAAAAAAGCAAGGAAAAATCGCAAGTATGACAAAGAATATCTTAAATTTGAATTCTCATGGACTGGAGATAAAAAAGAGCCTATTCCACTTTGTGTCATTTGTTTTGAAAATCTAAATAAAGCAAGCATGAAACCTTCCAACTTAAAGTGCCATTTTGAGACAAACCACAATCAGTACAAAGATAAACTCAGTGATTTTTTTGAAAACAAACTTAAGGATTTCAATTAGTCTTGAAAAGTAATGTGGGGTTTGACAGGAGGTGACAATCAAAAAATCCTAGAAGCTTCGTATCGTATGTAGCTTTTAACTACGAAATGTAGTGCAGTGGAGATGATTGGCAAAACTTTAATCAAGCCTGCAGCCAAGATAATGGCAGAAGTAATGATAGGAGATAGAGCGAAACAAACTTTTGACCACGTTCGCTCTCAAATACAGTAGACCTCCCTATAACACGGGTTCCTACAATGCGGATTCCTATAACGCAACGAAAAAATTGCGACGGTATTCGTATAAAGACGCTAAAAGGGACTCGTAAAACGCGGTAAAACGTCATTGCAGACTCGTGTCACGACAGGATTGGTCAAATCTGGACCAATAGTAGACGAGCAGCTGAACTACTTACACGCTACAGAGAGTTTAGGCAAGTAAGTCGAGTTTACTATCGTCTGTACAGTATATAAATTAGGTACCGTAAGTCTAATACAGTACATTTCTTGTGAAAGAAACATTTCTTATTCAACGGCCATAAAAATTATTTATGTTAATGATGTCTCAAAAGTTCAGCGAATTTTTCGCAGAAAAATAACTTATCAGAAATTGCGGCCGCCATTTGGTGCGCTGCTCCACAACGAAAACAAGCTTAAGCAATGGCAACGTCAAACGGTGCACACTTGGTAAGTAATCCTACAATTGTTTGTTTATAGCATAGTTTATACAGATTATTCCCAAAAAATTATACATGTTTTGGAAATGTTGAGTCAAATTAGTCTAGAATCGATTAATTTTATGTAAGAAAACCTTTCAAACAGCCGTAGTCTGTAAACTTCACATGTGTCGGGCTGTGATTGGCTCATGTATTTAAGGATTCCTACAACGCGAAATTCGTATAAAGCAGAACGTATCTACCACGTTATAGGGGGGTCTACTGTAATACAGTTCATCAACGAATCATTGATATGTCTAATAATGTAAAACAGATGTTATTGTCTGATATTTCTAAAAATTGTTATTATGCATAGCAAGTTGAGTCCACTGATATTGTGAATTTTGCAAGTTTTATGGTATTTGTTAGATATGAAAAGGATCAAGAAATTCATGACGACTTTTTATTTTACCAGCCTTTATCAGGTCACACAATGGGAGAAGATATCTTTAATGTTATGAAAAAATTTATGCAAGAGAACAAAATTGATTGGAACAGATGGAGCAAAAAGTATGGTCGGAATTAATAAAGGGCTCGTTGCAAGAATTCAAAATGTTGCCCCAAATGTCATATCCACACATTGTTGCATACACAGAGAGGCTTTGGCAACACGTAATGCGCCCGCTGATCTACAGAAAGTTCTGGATGAAAGCATGAAAATCATTAACTACATTAAAGGCCGTCCTTTAAATGCATGACTTTTTTTGCAAATGTGTGAAGAAATGGGAAGTAGTCATACTCAGCTTCTTTTTCATACTGATGTTCATTGGCTTTCTTGAGGGAAAATTCTAAACTGATTATTTGTACTTAGACATGAACTTCAAGTTTTTGCAACCTTGAACACCAACTATTAGCTTCAGACAGATTCTTGATAAATAAGCATAAGGAGTGTACTTTAACATCATTCAGATTACAAATGGAACATGTGTATCCAGTTTTAATAGAAAAAGTTCTGAAATACATCTTGCCTTTTCCAACTTCTTATTTATGTGAAGTTGCTTTTTCAGCATTTGTACACATTAAATCAAAAAAAAGGAACAGACTTTTGAATGTGGAACCGCATCTCAGATTGAAATTAACAACCAGGGAACCAAATTATGATGATCTGTTGTCTCAACATAAACAATTTCATCCTTCTCATTGATCGTAATAAATGTTATTTATAATATGACTTACAGTAGAGCATTGATTATCCAACTCAATTGGGGACTCAGGTTGGTCGGATAACTGAAAAAATTGGATAACCAAAAAGAATGAAAAAAATACATTATTAGTATGGTATATTAGTACATCCCATGTAATTAGTATAGTATATCGCTATTAACCAACTTCGCGTTGAATTTTCATCGATGTTAAGCCTAACAAATTTTTTTTTAAAATAATAATTGTCGCTATTGTATCGTTAAAAATCATTCTTAAATTATTTTATTGCTCACAAAACAAACAACCACTCATAATTAGAAAATTAAGTCTCGTTTAAATACTGGCCTCCCTTCTATGGTCGAGCCGATGTTTCCAGCTAAAACACACAAAAATTTAACAAAAATAATATTAAAGTAGCCAAGACATAGCCAAATATTGTAGTCCACATCACTAGCAGACATTTGAAATTTGCCAAGTAGAACGGTCAGTTAACCGATGTGACGGTTAATCAGAGATCAGATAATCAATGCTCTACTGTATTTATATTTTATTATGAATAAATTTAATTTTTCATTTATTATTATTTTGTTTATGTACTAAAATAGGAAAAAATAAATATGTTTTGATTGTTATTAAAGTATATGCAATTTTTTTTTGAAGAGGAGTACACAGCGTTACGAAAATTATAGAAGGGGTACACACATGTCGAAAGTTTTGGAAAACTGTCTTAAGGAATGTAAGAATATTTACAAAGATTCAAAATACAATTTACAGAATCATTATATTTAAACAAAAAATACACTAATTATAATTTCAAAATTAAAAGTTCTAAACAAATGTTAGATCATCATTCAAAATTGTGATTTTGGCTGAAAGAACAACAACAACAACAAAGGTACCATTAAAAGGAGTTAACATTCATTTTTCAATAGCCTAATCCAGATTTTTTACTCTTTACTATATTTCAATAATCATTTTATTAAAACTAATGAATTAAAACAATACCTGGTAATGTGTAAAGCTTTAACTGTATCTCTTGGTAAATAAAAAGATGTTAATGTCTTTCTTCCACTTTCCTCCTCCTCTTTCAAGATATCATAAATTGACGGTGGACGTGTACCAGCAATTACATTAATAGGTCGTGTCAAATTTAAACATACACGAATAAAACCATTAAAAACTTTCCCATTTTCTTGCTAATAAATCAAAATAATCTACGTTACTCTAAATATATTTTTAATATGTATATCTAAAAACAACACACACACCATCGTCATTTCCAAATTCTGAACATGATCATTATATTTATTTATTCGTTGTCTTAATTCTTCTTCTTCAAAACAATCAGCAAATAATGATGTTATATCAGACTGAAAAGTTTTAAAATATTATTATTATTATTACAATTATTGTTCAATAAATCTTAAACTTTTAGAATCATAATACAAACAAAATATACTATAAAACATATTCTCAAAAATTTTGAAAAGGTTTTTAAGTATTATTGTACTTTCCTTAAAACTCTTTAAATAAAGTATTTAAATTTAAATTATTACTCAATGTTTACCACTTTTATGAGTAAACATACATAATAAATAATAACACTGTCTAACAACATCCTGACATGTAGAAAAAAACAGACATTTACGATTAAATAAAAAACAAACAAACATTACACTATACCTGAATAAATTATGCATTAAGATTCTTCATTATTAAAAATTATTACATCATATTTAGTACAATTAATAAACTAAATAATTCAGACACTTTTGAATAAAAACTGTTACCTTGTCTTCTTTATCTTTTGTCACAGAATTTGTTGGTGGTGCTAGAATTTCATCAACATCTGTCGTTTGAATATCTCCAATACCTTTGCAGTCCAAAGTAACAAGTTCAAGGCATTGACGATGACATGTATAATAGCAGTCTAACATTAAATAAATTTTTATACTTTAATGTAGTTAACTTTTTGAGAAAGAATGAAGTAAATATACTTACTAATGCATCGAAAGCATTGCTCTGATCTATATAATCCCCAAACAAAATCTCCACATCTGTCACACCATGTTGGATTTCTCAATTGGGCTGGTTGGAAATGATGACCAATTCCATGTTCAATTGGTTCTAATTCCACAACTCCAAAACTTGATAATTCAATTAATTCTCTGGGACGCATATTACCTTCATTCCGTTGACGAGATGGAGAATCCTAAAAGTAACATTTTCAAAATTATGCATTTATGCAATTTATGTATAACTTATATTAAATTTACAATTTTGAATTAAATCAATATTAAATTACATTTTTATATAAAATAATAATCATTTACATTTACATCTGTAGAATCCATTGTAGCATCTAATCACACACTTTCATGACTTATAACTGATTTTAAGAAAAAAAAATTTAATAAGGAAATTTATGAGTAATCATAACATATTTATCTGTCTTTATATTCAGTTTCCTTGTAATTGTCATATCTTCACAATCATTAGAAAATAACAAAAGTTAAAATCATTGGTGTCCTAAGATTTTTTATATAAGTATTTTTATTCTAATTCTCATTATAGAACTCCAATTATAACACTCTAACAATAACTAATATAACAGAATTTAATGTATAATATATGTATATAATTCATATGAATAAACATTTTTGTATTATGGAAACAAATCTATAAAATATTGTTTGTACTCTTAATACAATGATTTCAATAAAAGTTGGAGTATATTTGGCTAAGGATTTATAGAAAAGTTATTTGCACTTATACATTAAAAGAAGTGAGTAGTTTAGTTCTGGAATCTTGCTTTCTTAATAACTTCTAACTGATTGCTAATATTATACTGTATTATTTTTACAAACAAATTAAATTATAATACTGATAATAATCAATTAGAAATGTTAACTAATTAAATTCTATGTTAGATGTTTTGTACTTTTTTTTAAATTAATGATTTGTCATTCTTTTGAATCTTTTCTTTGATCAATTTTTTTAAATAATTCAAGTATATGACAAACATATATTTTAATTGAATTTATAGTGATTTAAATAATATTTAATATAGCTTTCTCATAAAATAATTATATACTATACTTCCTTGATTCTAAAATACATTTTTAAAACACTTTTAATGTTATTTTTCTGAAATAAAGACATGTTTTACAATTGATGGCATCATGCATTTGCAGTCCAAAACAACATTGTGATTACTTTATGTGATGTGTTATACACCTGTTAATAAATGCTTTGATTAGGCAGCACAGCTATTGGATCAATTCAAACAACTTTTGTTGGTAATGAGAATTTAATTTACAGTAATTATTTTTTTAATGTTTAAAATTCTGACTTAAAGATTATGTTATAATGAACATTAAAAGTTACTGTATTTATAGAAGAGAATGGAAATGTTTGGCAACTATTTCAAAATAGTTGTGTTGTGTTTTTTAACTTGGTGTTATTTAATGAAGCTTATTAAATTGAATATTTTAAAATTTTTATCTCAGAAACCCTTAAAATTCAATTTTTAACCCATGGTATACCTTAGAATCAAGTAACTACAGTAAAATTTGTAAGAATATTGCAGAAGTAATGCACATTATTTGAAAATTAAGAAATTATGAATAATCATGTTTTCATAAGACTACCTTAGACTTTGATCTTCTACGAAATGGCAAAGGAAGGACAAAATTCTGCCAAATTCCAGTAGGACTGAAACCGAGTTTAGATCTACCGTCATCTGGAGATGCACCAAAATTTTTCCTTCCAGCTGGAGGAGTTATCGAAGGAATTTTAATTCTTCTCACATTTCTATGATCAAGTGCTAAATTAGACATTTCCTTTGTATCATATATATGTAGTTAAAACCATAAATAAATGCTGATGTTCCATCCTTTTTTCATTTTAGTTATTAATATATCTTGAGAGTCTAAAATATAATTAAAATTATTAATTGCATATAAATAATACAGACATTTTTCTCTAAATATAATTAATTTAAAACTAAAAAAAATAAATAGTAGCAAAAGACTTGTATATATTTTTAATTACCTTAATCTACTATAATATCTATGCCTAGCATATTTTATTAATTCCTTATTTCTTTAAGAAGTATGTAAATATGGTTAGTGCATATCTTTCAAGTATAATTAGATTATTATGAAACATAAACATGAAAAATTCTCTCTCATATATAGACATTTAACAGAGCATATATACAGTTTTAATGTTAGTATCAGACCAGTATGTAATGTCTATATACAGTGTCTATGAAGTCATGGCAGAGTTTCAAACTATTATAACATTGCAAGAAAACACAGTGGACACATGAGAGATTGAATAGCAACAGTCAAACTCTTTTTTACATGCTGTTTGTTTAAAGTGAGAATGAAAAAAGTTGCACACACAGTTAACCAAGATCATGTGCCAAATTGAGCATCTCAGTCAAGATGGTGACTGTAAAGAAAAAGGTGCAGTGCATTCTTTGCCTTGCCAAACTTGAATATGTAACATGTGACATGAATATCATGCATGTTTAAAGAAAAGATGCTACACAAAAATAGCATTCATTATTGAGATAAATAGACATGTTAATAAAAAATTTGAGACTTTCTCCTTAATGTATATTTCATGTCAATATTATTTGTCTACAAAAATATAAAAATTTAAAAAGTTGCCATGATTTACAAACACACACATTATATTCTCCAAGGCTACAGAGTCAATACACAAAACCACCAACCAAACTCATGAATTTTTAAACCACTAACTCCTTTACAAAAGCTCAAAATGCAATCACAATGGTAAATTACATGCAAAACATTTCATCGCCATATGAAAACACTGACATTTTAATGATTTTATAAATTAAAATATCATTAAGAATAATTTATTAATTTAAGCATTATCTTATAAATGATGTAATTTACAAAATAGTTTGAGGACTTTCATGTTTAATGAGTAAAATATAAAGTGATTACAATACAATTTTAATATGAAATATTTGAGAAATTTCAAGTAAATTCTTGAAATTTCTAGCTGGAATAGAAAAAGGGAAGAATTTTACAATTTAAAGCTCTCTCAGTTATTCAAATCACTCAAATACTAATCATCATTCAATTATAAAAATCATTTGACTGAACTCAAAACTAACCATTAGTAGGAAATCAACACAAATCAAAACTAATTTTGTAAGCAAAAAATTCCATTATAATTTTGAAAAAAAAAATTATGAATTTTACAGCATGACATTACAACTATTAATGCCATCAAATAACATATAAAGCAACATTTCCTAGCATGTAGCAGGTTTCCTAACAATACTAGGTTGCATGTAGTATGCAACCCAGTATTGGTGGATGAAAAATTAATGAAACAGAAAAAGAAAATTAAAATAAAGTACAGTAAAAATTTAATTAATAATACATTTCTTTGGAACTTTACTACGCAATAAGAACTTTATTTCAATTAAATAATAATAATATTGAACAACAACTGCAACTTGTTCAAATGCAAATAGTAACAGAAGCTGTGATGCATGATATATTTAAAACATTTTCATCAACTAATTCTTCCAAAAGTTTGAATTTTAAGACAGACATTGTAATACAGAGTATTTATAAAAATAATAATGGAATACTTTTTGACAATAGTTGAATTTAGCTGTGTAGTCATGTCCTATATCCAGTTTCGTACCATTCAATTATTTTTTTTTCTTTTACTGAAGAAACAAATTTTGTCTAAAGTTTAACAAAAAAGTGATTTTCAGCAGCAATTTTTAGAACAAATTTTTTTTTCCTGCACTGAATATGTCTTCATTTCAAATTTGAAGTTGGTCCACTATATAGTTCTCCAGTTATAGCCTTTCAAAATGTAAACTTTAATTATGAACACTCTTTACTTTCAATATAGTTTCATCAAAAATTTTATTTACAGGAGTCCTTACATTATGAAATTATTCACAAAAAGCAACATGGGAAGTGTTATAAAACATTCAAAACAATCTGTCTTTTATCACTGTTTGCTGACTTGCATTGTATTTAGTAAACAATACTTCATTAACTTCGTGTTTAGCAATATCAAACAAAACTAAATTTCCTGTTCCCTCATTATTTAAATTTTTATTATTCTGTACTTTGTTTATTTTGAAACTTTTAATGTATGAAAACTAAAAACAAGTATTATTGTGCTGCTTATTGTGAATTATTTCATAATGTAAGGGCCTGTAAATGAATATTTTCATGTAACTATATTGTAATTATAATGGTATTCTTTGATAATTAACCTATCATGATGAGTTTTGTGATGTTATTTCAACTTATTTACAAATTTATTAAATGAAACAATATTCATTGATTCCACATGATATTTGTACATTTATTATTATTCCTTATTTGTCTTTATAATTTGTGAAATTAATATAATAAATTCATACTTTTCCTTTTTTAGCATCAGTGATTTCAGAGATTCTGATTTTTACTAATACATCTTGTTAATTATATTAAATTAACCACTCATCTAGAATTTTTCACAGAGAAATTACATAGTTATTTATGTGCAAGGTCAAAAATGATATACATTTTGGTAGAAGCATATGTAAAATGGTTTTAAACAATTGTAAATAATGTTTTATGAATTTTAATTTATTTTAACCAAATAATGAGATGAATATAGAAAGTACCATTTGTGTATATCTCCCATTCTTACTTCTTCCACTAAAAAACAAAGTAACCGAGCCATATTTGTTTTCCTCGTTTACACTGAGGATCACTAAGTGTCAGTTATAATGTTCAAAACAATTGAATGACCTGCCAGTTGTGAAATATGATTGGTAATTAGGTTTTTGAATGAAAGTAATGTTCGACCACATAAAATTTGCCAGCAAATTTGTAAAACTTACAAACTAACTGTGATAAGTGAAGGTATAGTGAGAAAATGCATTAAGATGTTTAACAAAGAAGGGACAATGTTCATGACAAGGAGAATATTGGCCATCCATCCCTAATCAATGAAGATTTGCTGCACAATGTCGAAGAGAAGATTCATTCTGATAGACAGCTTACAATTTCTGATTTGTCTCTTCAGTTTCCTGACATTTCAAGATGAAATTGTGACTAAACAATTGCACTTCAAAAAGTTCTGTTCAAGATGGGTGCCAAAAATTATTATAAATGTTCAAAACAAAATACATAGGATCAGCCTTAGAACTTTTGAGATGGTATGAGGGGAAAGAAATGAATTTTTGGAAAAAATTGTCACTGGTGATGAAACATGAATTTGCCACCTGACACCAGAAAGCAAACAACAATCAATGAAAATAAAATATGGAGTCTTGATCAAAAGTCTCAATAGGCAGAGCTCAAAAATAAACAGTTTTTTTGCTACAAGCTGTCAACATGTATGATTCACATGATTTGACACACTGCAAAAAGCAGATTAAAATACTTTAGACAATAAATTAATGCAAAACTGTTTTTTCATAAAATAAATAGCATATATTATTGATTATTTAGAAACCATTCTCAGTATCATCCAGAGTTAACAACATGGATGCAGTACCATCAAGAGAGAGTGAAAACTGGAGATTTTTCCCTGGGTCTGTGGTGATTCCTACCTGTATAAAATTGGTGTGATTTTTACAAACAGAAGATAAGATCTTTAATACTGCTTTTCATTAATAAAGAAATATTATTGGAAGATATAATTAATTAATAATGTCATTAATACAAACTTTTTTGGGTTATGTTTCACTGCAGGGACAGATGTCTTTTTGGGAGTTACTGTTTTTACAGTCAAACAATGCAGATATCCAACTAAAGCTATAGCAGGTTAGCTCAACAATAGTAAATTATTTAGATATAACTATTTTTAAATCTGAAAATAAATATGCTACTATTCTTTCAAAAGTTAACAGCTATCAATTCATATATACATTGGCAATCTTAAGATATCATGTCATAAATTTCATATGTTAATTAAAAGGGGTGTTTTCCATTCATCGTCTGCGAAGCTTCGGTAGGAATAGTCAAACAGACAAATGTTGGTAAAAGTCAGTTTTCCAAGAAAAGTTATGGACAGTTCAATTAGTTCTCATCTGTACAAGAAAGTTAAGAAAATGGCAAAACATGCCGCTAATACTAGCAAAGTTTCTTTTCCAATAACAGGGATTTGATAATTAGATTTATAAGAGATTCTAATTTGAAAATATACATTAGATAATTTCCTACTAAAATGCAATTGCTTTTGTCAGATAAACATAAGATCAGTATAGTAAATAAAGCAGAGGTTTATATCATAAAGTTAGGCAGAGAGAGAAAGTTTCTATTACACAGGTTCTACCATTATATTCATAGATTTTTGCCTTCAATTAAAACATTATGCTCTCAGGATAATTCTATTCTAATATACAAACTAAGTAAATGCCATCCAATCCATCTGCCAGAACACACATATATTTATATTCTAAATATTCAAACATAATTATGCACGAGATGTCACTTAGAGAATGTTTGAAAGGGAGTACTTGATTCACAGAATTTTTATAATTTCTATAATAAAATAATACATTTATTTGAGAGATAAAAAATTACATACATATTTAACACAAACCGTCAACACACAAAATTCTTCTCGACAACCAGTTAATTTTAAAGTATATTCTACGCGGTTCCAACGTATACAGTTCCGTAAATGCCAATAAAGACCAAAACATTAAGTTAAATAGTCTCAGTATCCTTAACAAGCAGACCATTTAAAAATGACATCAAGTTTTGTTCCTTTAAAGTTAGATGAATTATATTATTATTACAATAATAATGACATCATATCAAATTTATTATTCATTTAGTACAAGTTATTTTTAGATACTCTGTACATATATTATGTAATTATAAAATATAGACACTGACCTAAAAGTAATTTCCACTAGCAATTATTAAATGTATTTATTGAATTTAACAAAATAAGCAGGAACTTGTATATTATTTAAGTTTATAATCAGGATGTTAACTTTCTTAGCAAACAAACCAGGAAATAAAGCATTTAATTGTGAAAAATGATTTCAGATGTTTGTTCAGTAAACCAGAAATATGTCAATTACAACAATGAAAAAGGAACTTTTCTTCTGAATATATTATAAAAACGTTAATTCAACCACGTGTTTTATACAGCAAACACGTGGATGAAAATGACAATTAATTAATAATATCTCATTCAATATTATAACTTACCAAATGGTAAATATGCAAAAATTATATCTGAAGCTAAGATCTAAGCATTTCAAGCAAATTCATAAATTGCAGCAGCTAATGCCATCTGTCTGTCAATTTTTTTTATTATTATTATTTTATTTATTTTTTTATAGTTTAAACATTTTATTAATAAGATATAAATTTTATTTCTAGTTACTAAATATATATTATTTGCCTATTTTTTATCAAAAAAAAATTTGATTTATATTTTACAATATTTCATATATTTTTAGATTGTACGTCATAGGCCGGAAGACCGACGAAGAAAAGACGCGTCTGGATTCGGGTTCGAGTTCGCGTTCTTGGAAATTGTCATTGATAGTACTTCTCTGCGGCGCTTCTGTAGTACAGGTCAAATCCACGATGAGTATAGATAAAGGCTGTTTAGTGCCTTAAGACTGGAACAGTATTAAAAAGAAATGTGGGCTGCCATTTAAATTGTAAAATAAGTTAATTTTGTAATTAAATATAAAATTTGTCACATCAATTATGAGTTGTTGACATTAATTTTCCGAAGGCAGCCGTATGGTCAAAGAGTCAGTCTACCGCTCTGGGGAAGCCGGGATCGAATCCGGACGGGTCGAAAAAGCTTCAGGAATTTTTCAGATGATGGTCCATCCGAATATGTCGGGCTCCCGTCCCTCACCCCATTGTGTGCCTAGCCGAACTTATAATGCGCTAGCTAAAAGAGCTTTCTTAGTGGACGTATTCAAAATTTCAGCACGCAGCCTGTTCAAAATATGAGACAAATTCCGATCGTTGCTAGTGTCTTTTTTTTTAATACTTTTCCGCCCTGTGGGCACTAAGAGGACCTCTTATAACAGGTCCATTGCGGGTTCGGCCAGGCCCACAATAAGACGACCGGGTGGTGAGGGACGGGGCCCGACATATCCGAACGGACAACCTCCCGAAAAATTCCTGGGATTCCTCGACCTGTCCGGATTCGATCCCGGGTACCCCAGAGCGATGGACTACCATCTTGACCGCTCGGCCATCCGGCCGTCACAGATAGCGTGCTTCCAGCAAACCACAAGAGTCTTTCTTGGTGTTGGATACGCCAGCAAACAAGATGGCAGCAGGGCCGCTCTAGCGGTTACGTCGCCCCGGACAAAAAGACAAATTGCCGCTCCTTAAGAATATATATATACAGTATATATATTTTAAATAAAGGTTCATATTTTTTATTTTCAATAAAAATCAAGTCATTTTATTTAAATTTTAATAAAAACATATATTTAGAAAGAAACATATAACATAACATTAATGTAGTTTTTTTTTTCAAAGACACGCTATCCTTTAGACAGAAAAGACAATTTCCTGAGACTTCCATGAACCAATATTTTATAAACTCTTAGTGTATTAAGAATATCGAAATTTAAATTTGGATTATATTTGGGAACTTAGATTGCCGGTGTGGTTGATGCAGGCATAGAGTGAACTGGCATAGGTCGCACTAAAAAAACGAACGGGGATACCAGTGGATGAATAATTGAAATGTTCGAAGTCAATATTGTACAGCATGGGGTCCTTAATTCAAATTTGCCTTTACTTGAGAAATTATATAGGAGAGAGGATAAAAAAAAAAAATAGATATACAGTTAGATATTTATAATCTTAATTTACTCGAGAAATTTCTGATTTGAAAAGAATTTGTCTTAAAAAATTAATTTTAAAATTATTATGTGCAGAAATGTCTCGCTTTAGATAAACTGAAGGAAAAAGTGGAAACACTTAAATAAACTGTAACGTAAAATTAAAACCTTTTCAAAATAATTTCAGTGTTATATTATTTCAAATTGTCATGTACCCGAATATTAAGACAAATATCCATCAAGAAAACAATTAATTTTATTATCAATTAAAACTATTGATAATAAAACTGTTACTCGACAAATTATTTGTAATCTTAATTTATAAAATATCAGAAATTAGACCAAAAATATGTCATGTTTTAGATAACGTGAATGAAAAAACTGGAAAAGCTTAAATAAAATAAACTTATTTAATCTATTCATGTAAAAATAAAAAAATTTCAAAAATAATTCCGTTTCTGTGATATATTATTTCATACAAGTGTTGTGTTTTGGATATTAAAACATTTAATAATTAATACAGAAACTTTGCCTTATTGTTAAAATAAAATTAATTTAATTAAGATTTGTGATCGAAAAATTAATTTTGTGATCAGTGCTACTCAAACCACTACTACTTATATTATAGCATTTGGTTTATATTTACAAAGGTTATCTAACGAAAGAGTTTATCACACCGAGTGCTTAATCTAACACATTTTAAAAATTTCTTTAAACCGTGTACAGTAGAATAATTTTTAAAATGTGGTATATTCATCATTCTTACCTAATCTAACATTTATAGTTATTTATCCAATCTTATCCGTTTTCGTGGTGTGCAAGAACTATTACCCCTCTTCTGACAATAATTAAGAAATTTGTATATGGGTCTAAAAATATGTTCGATTTCCCGCAAAAACGAAAAAACATCGCATCTAAAATAGTACAGTAGAAGCCGCGTTCTTCCGGTTCAGGCTTAATGCTCTCCCTCTCCCCCCGTGGGGGAATTTCGAAAAATGTCTCATGACGTACTCTGTGTACCAAATTTTACCTCTTTAGGTTCAGCGGTTTGCTCTGGGCGATGATGAATCAATCACTAAGTCAGTCAGGACAAGTATTTTTATATATTTAGATTATAAAGTATATTTGTTTTTTAAAAACAGGTACAGTAGAACATCGATAATCCGAATACCGATCAACCGAAACATCGGTTAACCGAAAGTGTTCCAGACGGCAAATTCAAATTTTCGCCAGTGTTGTGGCGCTGCAATATTTGGCGATGTTTTGGGCTATTCCAATATTACTTTTGTTGGTGTGTGTGTTTTAGCTGGCAGCACTGGCACGTTCATGAGAAGGTATTTAAGGACGCGCCAGTATTTGAACGAGACTTTGCCCCCACCAGTGGGCGAGTGGTCTCCGTTGCCGCTCATAGCGGTGACCAGACCCTAAACACTGGGAAGTTCGGTCGTGGGTTCGCGCCGCGATCGGACAGGCTGGCTGCTTGGAGTTTTCCGGGTTTTCTCCTTGCCAATAACGACTGAATAGGAGGCCAGTTCCCCATAAAAGTCCTCCCGGAAGGCATTATTTCCCGCGCGTACGTATAGGCCGTTCGGATACGGCTGGCAAATCGGTCGCATAGCGATCATACACACAAGTCTAATCTAAGAGTAATAAGTCTAATAAGTCTAAGAGAAAGAGCCTATATTGAGCTAAAATCTCCATATAAAAACAACACCGAAGAAGAATTTGGCATACTGAACGAGACTTTTTGGCGAAAAATAAAAGAAACATAAGAAGAAAGAGAAAGAACGAAGCTTTTTTTTCCCATCGTGAGAGCTAGAGGTGAGTTTTGCTTGTTTTGTGTGTCGTGCCGAATCGGAATGTTTTTGATACTAGATTAACTTCCGAAATATAAATTTTTTGTTTTATATCTTTCAATATACTGTATTTATTTTGGTAATTGTGCAGTTTAAGGGGCCCTTGTGCTGTTTATGGGTACGGCTATTTGAGAGGTTTTCTTCCATAAAATTAATCAAATCTAGACTAATTTGACTCGGATATTTCCAAAACACGTATAATTTTTTTGGGAATAATCCACATAAAATGTGGTTAAATTTTAGATGCATATACCGTCATGGCGGCACTTCTTGTTGCGACTGGTAGCACAGGCCGCGTTTCTTTATGCAGCGCTCGAGAAGCGCTTTACAGCGAACACTCGGAAACCCGTTTCTAAATGCAGCGCTGCAATGTAGCGAACCGTTTCTAAACGTTTGCTGCAAGAGGTCGCTGCAGCGAAGATAAAGCAGCTTTTACGTCCGCTACACGTGTAAAGCAAAATGGACGCTTGTGTGTATAATACGATATTATGCTGTAAAAATAAAAAAGTCGAAGTGACTGTTGATAAAAATATTATGGAAAGATTAAATTTTATGAAATGACTCTGAAATTTATCTAAAGAATAAGAAAATACTATATTTTAAATATAATTATATATCTTTTATCTCTACTTTGTTCACATTTATGGAAAGATAAATGCTCGATTCTTTGAGCATTTATCTTTATTTAAATATTGTAGTTCTTTAACTAAAGCACTATTTTCGGCTGTAACAGGAATTAAAGGATAGATTATGACGTCCGTGTTTCGCTCGAGCGGAAAGCGTTTCTAAACTATGATGCAGCGACGTGTAGCGATAGCTGCTCGTGACGTCATTTACGCTGCACTCTCGCTGCATAAAGAAACGCAGCCNGTTATTGGGTGGATTTTATAAGAAATGGGAACTATAAATTGTTTTGTTGGGTTGTTATGCAGGTCTCCTTATCGCTTAACATCAGAAATGCAAAAATGATTTAATGTTTTGGTTAAATATATAATCTGGGAGTCGATAAGAAGACAAATATTTTATAAAGGGGTCGACGGGATAAAAAGTCTGGGACCCCTAATCTAAAACAATAGACATATTATCAATAATTATCTAGACGGTTAAATGCAATAATTAATAGGGTAGATGTACTGTACCTATTCTGGCCACATTAAGACAATTTTCAACTTTAAAAATATTTTATGTTCTTACAATTTTTTAAAGCAATGAAACATAGTAAAAATAATACAAAAACATGTTCTCTGTTACTTTATTACATTAATTTTTATTAATATTAACATTTTATATACAAAATTTAAATTTTTAAAAATATTACAAAAATCATCAGTTTTCACCAT